TTTCATGGCAGTTTATATTTTTTTGTTACAGAGATTAAGGGATGAAAGAGGGTTAATTAATGGAGAATTTAATTCTCCGTCGAACCGCCTTTTTTTAACTTTCCGGGCAAGGAAGTTATTGTAATGCCCCCGAAAATGAAAAATCGATTTTCCATGATATCTCCACGTTTCAAGGTGTTTCTAATGTTCCTCGATAGTTTTTAACAAAATGTGTGTGTGTATGTGTGTGTGTGTGTGTGTGTGTGTGTGTATATATGTGTGTGTATGTGTGTTACTTTGTACATATGTGGTCAACATTTTGTTCAACGATTTCTCGTGAACGAATGGTCCGATTTAACTTTTTTTTTCTCCAATCGATACGTCTTCATGTAACTTGGACCGGATTAGATTTTGATTGATATTGGTCTGATGGTTTTCGAGTTATTCCAGAACGAACAATTCAAAATAGAAAAAAATAACCAAAAATTTCTCATTCTCATAAGGTGCTCATAACGAACGATTATAATGCAGAAAAGGTCTTCATTTTCTCCAATTTTTTTCATATATTTTTCACCATGATATTTCTTCCGTTTTTTTCTAATTTTTTATTTATTTTATCAACTTCCCGATCTATCGGGTAGTTATTGTAATCACCCTGAAAATGAACCATTAGTTTTTTGCGATTTATCCACGTTTCTCGGTGTCTAAAACACTTCTAAACAACATGTCTGCATGTGTGTGTGTATGTGCGTATGTAGGTCTGAATGCCACGGAATTTTCGTTAACGATTTCTCCCGAATGACTCGCGCGATCAAGATGATGGAGGACGCAATCGAAAGGTCTTCATGTACCTTAGACCTGAATAGATTTTGGAGTGATTCGCTCCAGTAGTTCTTCCAAATTTTCCTGGAGAAATGTTTGAAAATGGCTAAGATAAGTATTTCTCCTGTATAAATGACGTGATTGGNAGATTTTGGAGTGATTCGCTCCAGTAGTTCTTCCAAATTTTCCTGGAGAAATGTTTGAAAATGGCTAAGATAAGTATTACTCCTGTATAAATGACGTGATTGGCATTGTCACCATCAGCATATCACTAGAGTCAATCACTCCAGTGATTTATCTAGGATTTTCTGAAACTCCAGTGATTTTTCCAGTGGTTTTTCGAAAATTCCCTGAAGAAAAGTTTGAAAATCGCTCAGACACGGGTTTTTCATGAATAAATAAACAGAGTATTGAGAGTTGAAAAGGATTCTTTTAGTCAAAATGGGAGGAATAATAATATCGGGAAGTTGTTG